TTTTCTGAGAGTTGCGGTTGAATTGTCGTATATTGCTTTTTTCCTTTTTAAACCCAAAGAGGTGTTTATAGGCTGCAGAAACCTCAGTCTCTTGTATGTACACATTTGTGTTGTTTAGAATGATCATATGATCATCTCCAGCAAAGATAACAATATGTTATCAAAAAACCTTTGTCTATTATGTGGAACCTGTAAAGGAGAAATAAAATACCAATCAGAGCAACTTCAAAAAAAAAAAAAAAAGAAGAAGATGAAAGTTTGGAACTATCACTGTGCGAAGGGAATAAAGATTATTTTATTAGCCATGCTGCATGGTATTTAGTTGTTTACAGGAATAGAATTTCCATGGAAGCAATGAAGCATTCTAGAAAAAAGAACATACACAAAATATAGACCACTTAGGAAAATTGCAAACCACTTAATAGGCCTAAAGGTCACATTAAATGTATTATAACAGGAGATGACTAGGACCAAGTGGGTAAGGGCAAGGAAGAGAAGCAGAGATGATCAACTGCTTATTCTAAAGGGATCGTGGTGTTTTGTGCAAAGAGGACCCAAAGAAGGTCTGTGAACCACTGTGCAGTAGCACATTCTCAGCAGTGTAACTAAATGTTTGCATCAGGGTAATGCCGTAAATAAAGAGAAGAGATTCTGGTTCACAATTTGGAGACAGCAAGGTCAGACAACACGGGTCAGACTCTGATGATGAGACCCCTGTGGATGTATCACCTCACAGTGAATGTCATTTGTAGGAGAAAGAAATCACATCTCAAGGGAAGGCAGAGAGGCTGTGTGGGTGCAGACCCAGACTTTCTATGACACCTTGATGAAGTAATAACCAGAGTTACACTAAAAATAGCATAATTGCTTCTGAGGACATATTCATACACAATCAAATTAAGAAACTCCATGGAATTCCTTTCCTTAAAGACTTTAGAGCTTTGCCCAGTTCTCCTACACTGGTAACCAGATTCACAACACAGGAACCTCCATGCATGAGCCACATTCACCATATGGCAAAATCCATGGTATGAATCATCAAAGCCACAAGAGTAGAGAGGCTGGGGAGTCACTAGCAAAGACATACTCATTAGACAGAAACAACACAACAGTGCTTGCTCATCTCCAGAATGCTCCAATTTATCATCAGCTACTGAAACTAGAAGGTACCTTCAATGAAGAACTAAGGATTGGGTAGATCATAGTTCCATTTCTAAAAAAATAGATTTCAGAGTCTTTAAAGAGTTATATATGCTGGACCCATGAGATGATGGATTAGTAGATAAATATACCAGCTCCCAAGCCTATTGACTTGAGTTCAATCCCAGGGATCCACCGGGTATAAGGAGAAAATCATCTCCCACAGTAGTCATTTGACCTCCATATGCACACTGTTGTGTGAATTCACCTAACTACCCACACACATATACACATCAAATAAATAAATGTAAAACCTACATGTTCTTGACTATATAATATATACTTTGCATACTAATAATTATAGCTGGAAGTACAGCAAAAGTTTGTGGAATGCTTGTTTAGTATGCGTGTAAACCAATATTGCTAATATTGGATATGGTGATTTGAATAGAAATGGCTTCCATGGGTTCATTTATTTGAATGGTTGATCATTAGGGAGTGGTGCTACTTAATAGGGATTAGTAGGTCTTCCTGCTGCTCTTAGATCCAGATGTAGAACTCTCAACTACTGTATTTGTCTGTGCAACTACGGTGCCGCCATGAGGATAATTAAGCAAACCACTGAAACTATAGGCAAACACCGACTAAATGTTTTCTTTTAGTCATGGTATCTCTTCACAGAAACAGAACAATGACTGAGAAACTGGACATGATAGCACATGGCTCTAATCTTAACACTTTGGAGGTAGAGGCTGAAGAATAAGGAGTTCAAGGTCATCCTCCGTTACAAAAACCAATACATAGCAAACCTGAGGCCAATCTGAAGTACATGAGCTCCTCTCTCAAAAAATAATAATAGTAATTATCATTATAACAATTATATTATATATAATTATATCATATTATAGTTACTATTATAATTATAACAGTATCTTATTTTATTAAGTAAAATAACAAATTTCAGCTATAATATTTATAACAATATCTTATTTTATTTAGTAAAATAACAAATTTCAGCTATAATAAATAATAATAGCTAAAGAATGCTACTGTAATTTCTCACTTTTCATAAAACACTGTGCAGTGAAAATTAGATTTACAAATTATTCTTCAAAGGCTGTATTTTCACTGTTAAGAAAACAATGACTTTACTTTGTAAAACTGAGAAAAAACTGGTTATAAGACCCACACTTTAAAAATAAGTCTCACTATAGAAATTGTTTGTGTTGAGTTCACAATTTCTCTTGCAATATATACCAAATCACTTTTCTGTACCTTTTCTGAAACAAAATGCCAGTTTACATATCTGTTCCTATGTGAATTTGCTCATCTGTCTTAGAGAAAGAAACACTATTATTTATTAACCCCACAATGTGGATTCTGCATTTGCCATGAAGCCTCTTCTCTTAGTGAAGAAGGAACAACCGAGAGAATCTCTTGGGTCCTAAAATGCTGAGGATGAAGATTTGAACCCAGAAACATGTAATCACTCTGTGGTGCTGAGCTCATCTCTGTGTATATGTGAAACATTGTGTTTTAAAGGGCTGTAATTTGTGTTTAAGGATGGGCTCTTTCCTGAATAAACATGACAGAGCACGCCTATGCTGAAATACTGCTCACCTTTCTTTTCACACGGGTTATGCTTTCTTAAGACAAATCCTCCAATCAGCAAATTCACATTCCGTTGACTTTACCCATTTGATAAAATGTAATGAAGGATGAATTTTATGATAGCACATAGGCAGGATGCACTGACAGTTTACCTAAGTACATTTATCCCCTATCTTCTTTTGTTTTTCAATGGACTTTTCACCTTGAGTAGCTTCTCATCTATGGAAAGATCATGACAAAGATACTGAAGATTCCCATGAATCTCATACCCACCGCCTGAATGTGGAATATCTACTCCAATTTATGAACTAATATTTATCCATTATTATTGATTTTAAAAGCTGCAGCTCTTTATACTGGGGCATACAAGAAACTAAGATATATGCAGCAGGTGTGTTCATTGCTCCACTGTAGTAGTCAAGAATATCAGGGTATAAATTATTAACCTGTGCCCTATGGGAAATCACTTTATTAATTAAAGTTCATTGTTTATGGTGGCCCATTTTACCTTTTCACTTACAAACCCTATATATTTCCAAACTTACTTAG